TTATATTACAGTACACAACATCGATCAAAAATAATTTATTTTGCATTGACTCCACAAAAGATTAATCCCACGCTCTGCCAATAGATTATCCAATTAGCGATAAGATTTTTTCTAGCCAACCATGAAGTCTTTATTTGCATACAAGAACCTTAATGGCTGTTCTCACACGGCTGCTAACGGTTAGCAGGATCCGGATCCTGCTAACCGTTAGCGGTATCCGGATTTTTGTTTTTTTTGTTTAAAAAAAAAAATTTAGTTTTAGTAGATTGGGAATAGGCTATGGAAAGGCCTTTCTTTATGTAAAGGATGGAAACCTACATACTGTACCTAAACCCAGGGAACAGTGTAATGTCACTGTTCCCTGCTAAACCTAACTTTAGTCAAATAAAGTGTAAATGTTATGTTTACTTCACAGTATGCTGTCCAGATTTTTTTCCCAGTGCTTTAAACAGCAAGTTGGTAAAAAAAAAACAAAAAAAAAAAACCAGTGTTTTTTTTTTTTTTAAATAAATAAATGGTTGTCCCATGTTGTTTTTTGGAGACCATTATCTTCGGTCTTCATTTGGAGGTTTTAGGTTTGGTTACCCAAGGAACAGTGAATAATTTCACAATTTCACTGTTCCCTGGGTTATCTTCCAAGTATGCTGCTTGGAGACCACTTCAAGCTTGTGGTCTCTATTTAGATGTTTCTAATTTGAGACCAAACCCAGAGACCACCCCAAATTTCAGATACACAGAGTGGTTTGGAATATGAGGGCGGATTGTGTAAGTAGATGTGTACGGATTCGGTGCACTTGTGATCCTGGGAAAAATTCCCAAGATTCAGTCTAAAAAATCCCAAGATTCGCAAAATATTAGTATATATGCCTACATATATATTCATAAAAACAACTTCTTTTAAAAGTCCAATTTTAAAGCTTTTCCAGGAATGCATTATACTGTACTGTATAACGAAACAGTGTCTTGATTTTCGAGACCAACTCGTTCGTTTTTATTCAACTGTGTATAAGTTTCTGAAGTTGAGGAGGTGGGGTGGTGGTGGTGGGGAATGTCTTATCTGATGAAATGGCAATTGCCTTATTTTATTTGTATTACACAGAAAATATTTCAGTAACATAACTCATACTTTATTAGAAGGCGTTGACTTTCATAACTTCTTTTTTCGGGAGGTGTAAGGTGGTAGGCCTAAGATTAAAGTATTTTTGCATTTGCAAGGTATGAAAAGGTGCGAAACCTCATGGCGGTGCAATATTCTTGCTCAACTTTACTACGTAAAGCAATGAGAAATATCAAGAGATTTTGTTTAAAAATGGACCTTATTATTTTTGGAAAATTATTAAAATGACTATCAGAAGAATTGAAAAACATATAGTCTTTTTGAACAAATATAAACCCTTATTCACAACTGTCAACTATGGTGTTATAAAGGTCATTAGCAGCCTATTTGTTCACTTTTTGAAAAAAAAAAATTAAAAATTCCATTGGTATTTTAAAATACGATTGCACGTGCTTCTGTTTTTGCCTATCGGATCAATCAACACTAATTTCATTTTTACCATGTTGTTAAAATGACAATAAAGGAGTATCATATCCAAATTCAAACGGTGTTTTTATACTTTATTATTACATTAAGCCTATTACTATAACTGAAACGTGTACAGTAATCCTAAGTATCAAACATAAATAAAATAACCATATAAAGATAACAATACCCTTTTAAATGGTGTTAAAACCAACCAATGCAACAAATAACACCAGAAAATAATGAGCAGTCAGGCCCGTAGCCAGGTTCTTCCAAGGGGGCGCGGGGGTTTCTGGGCGTGAGGTCCATCCAGTCGAAGCCCCGGTGGGGTCGGCGAAACCCCCAAAGCAAGAGGATTTTTGTGCTTAATGGGTCTAAATAATGCTATAAAAGGAGATATGTTTGAAAATGTCTGTGTCTGGGTGGGTCTGCAGTGCATTAGTTGGAGTTGGAGGACTTATTTGGGAAATTTAAAGAGGGGGTTCGCCAGAAAACAGGGGGGTTTGCTAGAAAAGGTGGTTCTGCTCCCGAACCATAAAAACACCCCCTGGATACGGGCCAGGCATTGCAATCAAAATGTTTCTTATAAAATTAACAATTCTTTTATTGTTTTAGTCTTGGTCTCTTTGTCATATCCAAAACAATCTTCTTTTTTCTTTTATATAAAACCAAATTAAAAAAATAAATTCAAGCCCCAAAAACTTAACTAACATTATTTGTAATTCATCGATATGGAGTAGAATGCACCAATTCCATTGAAAAAAAAATGTAAGGAATAAGGAAAAAACTTCTATATGTGACGTGGGTTTGCAGTAGCCCATTCCTTGGATACTGTGTTTATTTTGAAAGCCTCTTTGCTTTTGGTAGACTGGATGAATAGGATGACTGTTCTACCCCATTATTAAGCTGCAACAATTGCCAAATCTTTCCTCACAAAAGTATTCTTGTATCACATATCATTCAACCTCATATATATTCTAACTTTAACAGAATTACTCTCAGTCTACCAGTCCAAATCATAATTATTTAATAAACAGACTGTTTATTTTGTTGGCTACCTATAACTCAAATCAACCCATCCTTACTGTTGACGCTCTTTTCTGTTACCCCCTCCCTCCCCCCGAAAGAGTACGTAATAAAATGTTGATTTGTGTCATTTTGAGATCAACATTTTATGTTTTTCATAAAAGAGTACAATTATGCCTACACTTTCAACCCCTTCCCCACTAAAGCGTATGTCTGTCTCTTATACACATCTAGATGGATTTACTTAAAAACTAGTAAGTAATTTGCTTAATTACAATTAGCTGATTTTGTGATCAATTTAAGCTACCAATTTGTGAATTAGATTGTCTACTATATTTTCACTATTTTTTTATCTCTTTTTCTTTTGCTTCCTCTTTTCTTTGTTCTAGAATGTCTTCTCGTACTTTATTCAATCCAAACTGAAGGAATCTTGCCAGCAACTCCGCTGGAAAACATGCTGCAATATAGACCTACACAGAAAATAAACATAAAAAATTAATAGTATTTATAGGTTATAAATATGGTATAAAAATATAATTCCATATTTCAGATTTTATGTATGCAATAGACCTATACATAAAATAAACATAAAAAAATTAATAGTAATTATAGGTTTTAAATATGATATTTAATTTAATTCCATATTTCAGATTTTATGTTCAATTAGCACATTTTACATATACATATTTTCCATTTATCATAGTCATTTATACCAGCAAGGAATGTGATATAAAGCCACAAGTCCTGGTCACCACGCCAACAGTTTTCAGAGCACCTCTCACATATGTTGAAGCTTCTGGAGAGAACCACGACGCTTTCACGCTCATGTTAGTCTTGACGATGAATGGTGTTACAGACTATAGATAGAGAAGCAAAAGTATATCAATTTCCCTTTCAGAATTTAACCAACAGTGTGTTGTACTCTCTTGTGTTTAAACACCAGAGCTATCACTTGACCTTGCTGTTGTCTATACATATAATCGGTATCTTTATTCAAAAAATCTCCTTCATAAAAAAATACATTAGTAGCAAAAAGCTAAATTGGCATATTTTGTACAAAAGGAAAACAAGAATGAGAAAAAGCAAAAACATCACATTAAAACAATACAAAAGCAAACCCAAACCATCAGTTCAAAGTTCACTACGTTACACTGGGAAATACCTAGTCAGGTTTTTGCATATAGGGAAACTTTATTTAAACCACTTGAAAGCCTATGACGATGACCAGGGAACAGTGAAATTACACTGTTTCCTGATGATGACTAGTGAGATTTCAGCTCCCCCTTCATCCCCTGCCTCAAAGGCAGAAGCAAAAATATCGTTTAGATAAGAGATAAAAATGGCTAACACTCAGAAGCTTCCAAGGTGATTACCCCCACCCCTTAATATGTAAGGGTACACCCCAAAACCACCCTTTCTAAATTACAGCTTCCAAGCAAATTTGTTGACAGACTTATTAATTTGTAATTTTTCTTCTTTCATAAATTGGTAATGAATTATTAATTCATTTCTTGTAGAATTTGCCTACCTAACCACTTGATTATTTAACTAAAAGCAATGATATTTACATTATAGCTAGACCTATAGCTACATCATTGCAAAAAAAAGAGAGATGGCAGTGGGGTATGTTAAAGAAATTTAAAAAAAATTAAAATTTAGTTTACCAAGTACAGAGTCTAATTACATGTTGATACGCTATTTACCGAGACTAACTAGCTAATTACCTGTATTATAACTCCTGTGTCGCGATATTCATAATGAATTCCATGTGAAAAGAAGTCCATATATGCCTGAAAGAATTAAAGAATTAATTATCAAGAGGGAGTGCAACTTACAACTAATATAATTGTATTCAAATACTTTTATCCAGTTTGCTTATTATAACTGCAAAACTGTTGTTGATAGTAAACCAGTTGACCTTTCCGCTAAGCCCCGCCCCTTGGATACTGTTGCTAAGGTCCCACACAAAGACAGCATATACGCAAATATGTGCGTTTGTGGGACAACACGTGTGTTCGTGATACACGCGTGCATTCCTGGCCCTGTTCTGATTGGTCAGTTGTAAAGTTTATTGACTCCAGAATGGTCTATGAGGTAAACATTGCTCAGTTTCCTTGCGTACTTGGTTTATTATCAACGTAACAGTTCTGCAGTTATAATAAGTGTAATACTTTCCTCTCATTGCAGGGGCAGATCCAGTAGGGGGAGCACGTTCCCCCTGTTTTGCCACTAAATTTTAAAAATTCCAATGCAAATCAATGTTATGTGTTACTCACTTAACTATTCTGAAACTGCTGTGCCCACACCCACACCCTCCCCACCTTGAAAAATTCTGGATCCGCCCCCTGCATTGCATCACAATTACAATTAGTCAGAGCACCTTGCTCTTATTTTTCTCTTGTGAAGGGATTGCCACCTAGAAAATTGATTAATTTCACAGTTTGGCAATCCTTGGCCTTGTGCTTAAAGTTCAATAAAAAAAAAATACAGTGGCATTTAATCAAATAAATATGCTAGTTCATATTAATTTTATCATTTATGTAGCGCTAATTCCATTATATATGTTCAAATTCACATATGAGAATACAAATTTACAACATAAAAGAGAAAGTTAAAAATTGATGAGAAGCTAAAATTCTGGGAAGCTAAAATTTAACAGCACATTAAAAGAATAAAATTTAAATTGGTAAGAAACATCACACGCAACTTAAAATTTACATTAATCAATTATGTTAAGGGGTCAATTAGCAACATTTTCAAAAGAGTACAAAACATACTCTTTTCTGTTACCCCCTCCCTCCCCCCGAAAGAGTACGTAATAAAATGTTGATTTGTGTCATTTTGAGATCAACATTTTATGTTTTTCATAAAAGAGTACAATTATGCCTACACTTTCAACCCCTTCCCCACTAAAGCGTATGTTTTGTACTCTTTTGAAAATGTTGATAATTATGGATGACCCCTAATGGATTGATAATGACAATAATAATGTCAAAATTACCTTTGTTGATGAGTAGACTGAAATATACGGAAATGGCTTTAGGCCTGCTACAGAAGAGATATTCAAGATTGCACCCTTTTTTCTTAAAATAAAAATATTTAGATACCTAACTGAATAACATGGATACACAGCATAGTTCTTAAAGTAAAAACTCAGAGTGCAAAATCATTTGGCTCTATCAGTGGCACAAGTAAAGTTTAATTGTGCAAAAGAAAATGTCCCATATGTCAGAATTAAATTAAAATTCCCCCTCCCTTGCCAAACTCCAAGGCTCTTATCTTATTACATTACATTTACTTTTCCATGATTCTGGTCTCTGTGGAATGAGACAGTCTTTGTTGTGGCTATAACCTACGAGCAATGCTTTACTTTGGCCTATTGTCCACTATGATATTACGATAATATTGTTTTTTGTGGAAAAATAATAAATGAGAAATAAATGAAATGAGAAAAGTTGCGAGTCTTTTAATGTTAAAGTCTCTGCCAGGACTACATGTAATCCAATATTATTATATATTACCTTTGTATCATTTGTGGAAGGCATATCTGGGTCATCTAAAGAAGTAGAAGGGAGAAAAATTAAGTTATTCCTTTAATAAAACTGTATATTATAAATTGTCACAATAAATAAATTTGTATAGCACTCTTATCCACTGGAAGATATGCTCTAGGCCCTTGAGAAAATTTAGTACAAAAAAAGAAAAATTGTGAAAAATAAACCAATAAACATCCTGCAAACTAACTCAAAGCAGAGGAACCAGCCTCTCCATTTACCACCACTTTAAAGCTCAAGTGAGGGTAAAGTGGTTGGTGACTCACTGGAGCTCAAATAACGCAAGTATATAACTAGCCCATCCTACCAAAAATTTAAAGAATTGGAATTGAAGGAACCTAAACTAGAAAATTTCAGATGGCAACGTCACCAGATGGGTCTTGAGAGCATTTGATTTAGTTTTAATGGAGCGAAGGTGGAAATGGCAACCTGCTTAAGAGTTTGGGAGCAGTGACAAAAATGTCGAGCAGTGACTTGCCACTGAAGAAAGACCGCTCAATTGTTTTTTGACTAGAGGTCACAGAGATAATTTGGACCAAAATCAATTTAATATTTTGAATATGATTTAAAAAAAAAACACAGATTATTTTAATAAATGCCCCAAGGCCATTGAGAGGGTGTTTATTTGGTGGAGGAGTTCATTTGAGGGAGGTTTTTATTCAAGGGAGGCTTTTTATTTTTGTGGTCGTAAAATGGATAAATGTATTAAAAATTTCACTGCAAATGTGGAACTAAATACACATAATTACCATCAAAATATGGTATTGCCATGATGGTAAAGATTACTGATCCCAACAAGGCAAGAAAAAATATAATTCTACTTTAGTTGAACATTAATAGAATGTGTTGAGAATGATTTTGCTTCCATTTAGGGGCATTTATTTGAGAAAAACTAAATGCCCAAAGGTGTATATTTGAGGGGGCGTTTATTCGAAATGAGTCTCTGGATGAGGTGTTTATTTAAAGAAATATCGTTAATTCCTTTAGAAATCAAAAGCAGTGCCGGATCCACCCCTCTATGAAGAAACAACAAAATACTACTGGGGCCTGGCTTACAAAAGGTATGCTAACCTACCTAGGCATAGGTTGGCAGATCAGGCAAACTAGGCTTAGCTCAACTAGGCTTCAATATTAATAAAATTTAAAACACTGTTTTTGGTTAGACGACAGAATAATTTATGTACGAAAGTGTGTTCTTCATGCCTATCAGTTCATCGATCAATGGAAGAAAGACTGTGTATCCAATATATCAGTATTGTTGGAATATTGTATTATACTGCCTATGTCTTTGATTTTTGTTTTCTATATACAGGAAGAGACAAAATTACCTGACCCTTTTTAAGAGGGGGAAACCCTTGTACTTTGAAGAACTTAAAGGTCATTAAAAGACACCTCAGAAGTCGGGAAAGCTCACTCTTTCATATCCTGGATCCGCCCCTGAAAAGCCAATGAATTTGTATTTTGTATAAACTGAAGGCGGTAAATAAGTGATTTTGATATTCCAAAAATAGAATTATCCACATCTTGGCGGGCCATAACAAAGGCATGAATAATCTGCTCTGTTGCTTATCCTGATTTAAAGATGAAAATCAGTGCATGCTTTTACTATGATTAAAAAATATTAGCTCTTACCATGGTCATAGATAGACAATTACAATGCAGGATATCCGTTATAAACTGCAAATTTAAAAATATGAATCGCAACACTAAATATTTTATTAATATTAGTAATAGTGTATTTGAAAGATATAAAAAACCAAACAAAATTATATTATTTATTTTCTTTACTCATTTTTAAGGTTTTCAAAATTATACAGCATTCACAAAAATACAATAAAACATATTTTACTTTAGGAAGACCTGCCAATACCTCAGGCACACTAGGGTTGGGATTGAGGTGAGAACAATGACTCCTCAGTGACTGTAAATGCATATTCAGACACTGTAGATGCGGGGGTTCATGAAATAAAAGAAATTACTGCCTTAGGCAATTCATGTCTATATTTAGTACATTTATTTTGAATGAGCTTATGCAGTAAAAAAAACGCCTGACTTTTAACTAATGTATATTTTACAAATAAATACAGACAGGAAAGCACGGGAAAACTTTTTTTTTTTGAGTGACCTTAATGCTGTGATGTGTTCATATTTCTCTGTGCCATTTATTACTCGGGCAGCTGTATCTTATATAAACTGAAGGTGGTAAATAAGCTATTTTCCAAAAATAGAATTAATGCTGAATGGGAGGTATTTGGCAGGTATTTTTAGGTTCCCCACCATTACTTGCAAAAAATACAAAATTGCTAACATTGATACCTTTTTTGTGTCTGGAATCTCCAGCAATTTGCTAACTAAGTTCATCATACCAACATTATTAACAAGAACACCAACTTCAAGCCCATCTAACCGGGATTCTATATCTTCGTAAATGCCTTCTACTTTGGTAAAGTCAACAGTAATAATCTTTGTTTTCACGTTATAGGCTTTTTCTGTGATAAAAAATTAAAAGACAAAAGTGATGTAAAGTATTGAATACCAAAAGAATATTTCAACACTAATTAGATGGAAGATAAATCCAAGTTGTGTAACTGAACACAAGCCAATGGATGTGCAAAAGTATATTTCTGCGCTTTAAAAAAACATGCATTCACAATTAAGTATTACCCGATACACGATATAAGCCAAAAGTGTATCTAAGGGTGTGCTGGGACTGCATATGCCCCTCCCCCCTCACTTTACTTTTTTTTAAAATGAAATGAATAGATATACATTTCACTTGCAAATTTGGAAAAAGCAAAAAATTTTTTTTAAAAATCAATACATAGAATACATGGCAGCGTTTTGGCCATAGGAACAATTTGGTACGTCAGCAGTTTTGGTTCTGCTTCTCAACTTTGAGGCTGGCAGTTCAAACCCTCATCGTGCATTTTGTTTGTGTCCATGGCAAGGCACTTCACCAATGCCACTCACTGACATTAAAAAGTACCTTCTTTTGATTTGGTGCATAAAACTGATGCCAGAGAAATTCATCTTTGAGTGCTCTTTCCATTTATTATACACAAAACTAGCTGGTTCATGTGGATCTCCTGCGAACAGGGTATTGCAAGGTTGGAGTAAGGCCTAGGAATGATTGGAAGTTTGATACTTATATATTTATGTACCGATCTCTGATGCTACTTTCTCCAGCTTGTTGGTAGACCGACTTATCAACACAATGTTCAGCCCCATCTCAGCCAGCTGTTAAGGAAATTATGTAGGTCTTAATAAACTACCTGTTTCTTTATGTTCATTTAAAGAAAACATATCCAAAGTTATAATTTTACAACTAAAACCTAGCCAATTATTTTGATGTTTGATTTATTTATACATAAATTCTACCTGCTCTGCATAGGCCTTCCCAATCCCATTAGTCGCTCCTGTCACCACTGAAATTAAAAGAAAATAAAAAAATTATAGGCCTATTTGGGGTAAAAGAATACAGTGAACTTCTGCATTCAACATCTGCATTTTTATTATTATGTATTCACCTATATTTAGGAGCAGTGGCATAAAGGTTAGTCATGGGATCCATGGGATAAGTGTCAGGTCGAAAATACTTTAAGGCTAAAAGGCTAAATTGAAAAAAAGTCCATACTTTTAGGATACTGTAATGGGTAAGGTACTCAATAGAAAATTTGTATATGTACATATTTGTATGCATGTATGTCTCATAGGCTTTGGTGGTGAGAAAAATTTCTGTCACTGACAAGAATATTGTACTGTAACCCAGCTGAGATTTTAAAGGCAAGCATCATAAACCAGGCCCGTATCCAGGGTGGGTTTTTATGGTTCGGGAGAACTCCCTTTTTCTAGCAAATCCCCTTTCTTTCTGGCGAATCCCCCACACCAATTTCTTGAACAAGTCCTCCAAATCTAACATACCTAATGCATAGTGGCGGTGCCAGCGTCTGAAATCTGGGGCGGGGGGAAATGAGGGGCAAGGTACGATTTTGTAGGGGGAAAGGTCCCTGACGAGAGCAAAGTGGGCTTGGTCGGGTGACAATTAAAATGTTTCAAAAGTGGACCAGGGGGTGAAGACCCTGAAAAATATGACAATTTAGGGATTTCAGAGGGTTTCAATCGATTCTAAATAATGGATGCCAGTCAATTCGAGCGGATGTCAGTTCGAACGGATGCCAGTTCGAGCGGATGCATTTAGTGCGAACTACAACAAGGGTGAATTTATGGTCGCCCTATTCTTGTATTTGTTTTAAACGCAAAAAATGCTCTGTGCACTAAAGTTCTGAAATGTTTTTGGTACTTTTTGATAATTATTCTATGTTTGAATTGCAGTTTTGGTAAATCCGACTAAAAATGGCCGCTAGAAAACGCTTAGGCCCTATATTTTAAAACTATAGTATTTCGCACGTTGAATGCACGGTTTTGTCTCTAGATAGTTGAATTATATAGTGTTTTAACAGTATTTGAGGATTTACGATTTAGGCCTATATTTGTAAATGGGAGCAACAGTAAATGTAATTTTTATTCACCATAGAAATTTAAATTATTTTTATGTATATGGTATCAGAAGGTGTAGAGTGACACAGGGGCGGATCCAGTGTAGGGGACACGGGGAGGCATGTGCCCCCTGTCTTGCCACTAAATTTTGTTAAAAATGTCAATGCATATTAATTTTATGTGCTACTCACTTTAACTATTCTGAAACTGTTGTGCCCCAACCCGTCTATATAGTTCAAAACTCACTTTTTTTTAACTTAGCATGTGGAAAGAATAAAAATGACTAAACATTATTTTTATATTTAAAAATATAAAAATAATGTATGTAAAAATTAGGTATGTTTAATTGTAAACCTTATAAACCAATTAAATACGACTTTTTTATACATAAGGCTATAGAATTCTCCCCCGAAACCCACAGGGGGTTTTCCCCTGGTTGCAGTGGCGTATCTAGAAGTCTTGAAATGGGGGTGCTGATTGGGGGATTTCGATGATCAGTTGAGGGGTGCTAACTTGCAAAATAAGGTGATTTTAGGTGATTTTCAACTACTTGCAATTGATTTCTTTTGGAGGGGGGGGGGGAGTAATTTTTGGAGGGGCGTCTGACCCCCCCACGCACCCCTAGGTACGCCAGTGCCTGGCTCCCAGGCAAAGCCTGAGACTCGGCCAACTGCAGAATGTTAGCTCAAAATAGGAAATTTTAAATTCGTACATAACTCGCACAGGATGTTGTTCGCGCAAGTGAATCTTTTCTCCGCTCGAACTAGCATTCGCTCGAAGTGGAATCCGCTCGAATTGACTGGATCCCTAAAGAATATAGTCTACTAATATTTTCTAGAAGGAATTCCCCCCCCCCCTCCACCCCGTAGCGCCGCCACTGCTAATGCACCCAGCCATCCAGAACTCGGACGTTTTCAAACATATCTGCTTAGTTATTCGCAGCATTATTTAGAACCAAAGCATAAAAATAAAAATTATCTGACTTTTGGTGGTTTCGCCGACTCAACGTGGCTTCGACCCTGGACCCCACGGCCAGAACCGCCTTGGAACTTTTAAGTTCTTAAAACAACCTGGCTACGGGAAACCAAGCTACAGCTGGCACCCTCGTCCTAAATAACTATATCCGCCAGTACGTCTTCCGGGGTTCACACCACCCAGATGAGACACACTCAGTGGTGGCGGTGTTTTATGGAACCGCATCCTACCTGCCCACTCCCCATAACTTAACAAATCTGCAGAAAGTCCTAACTTTGCAGCAACACAGTGTGTGAACACCCATCGAAATAGTGACCGACAAAATTTTAATGTTAACCAGCAAGTAGTCAGGAAGCCAAGTATGGCTGTCTCTTATACACATCTAGATGTGTATAAGAGACAGTTTGTTCACTTACTGAAAAAAATTTAAAAATTCCATACCATTCCAAAAATCCCAAGATTTATTAAAAGTTAACAAAAAGTCCCAAGATCCCAAGGTGTCATTAAAAATCAAAAGATTGGGTTAGTGGTCACAGTGATTCGGTGGATAAGCCCGTTCAATTATACTCATAACCAAAAGGCTCTTTTCAGAGCCCCTATTTGAACAAGATCGAGCTAAAGCCTTCCCCACCCATCAGACAGAGCTCGTCGGGCAGTCAAGGACTAAAAAAATATTAAAATAGCCCATACGAAGCACTGAGTCCATGTTAAAATCAAAATGTAATTGCAAAATTCAATGTCTAATTTATCAAAACGTCATAAATTTCTCAAAATGTAGATCTAGTATCCCAAAATGAAGTTCTAATTTTTCAAAACGTAGTTCAAATTTTCCAAAATGTTCTAAAATGTAATTCAAATTCAAAACGTAGGTCTGACTTGATCAAACGCCCTCTCCAAATACAATGGGCGGATTTGGTGAGCCTGACGCGCCCCCACCCACCTTATATCACCAAAAAAACAAAAAAACAAATTAATTTTTTTTTTTTTTAGATAATTGAATGGATACACAATTCCATAGAAAGGTTGATTCTATGTCATATCGCGCAATGCATAGCTACGAAGACAGTTTAAACGCAGATGCACCAGCATCGAGGTCAGCAGGTATGTGCTATTCCTGTCAGACAACCCCATGCACTGACCACAGTACACTGATATGTGTGCACGTCTCCATTGACGACACCCCTGCAGTAGACTTACTCTTTTAATAAAGTACAGTTTTTGTGTAGACAACATTTGACACTTTTGACGTGTAAGCTTTGCTTCCTTATTGTTTTCAAGTACAGTACCTGGTTTAATTATATTGTGTAATTTAAAAGATATACTGTATGAAATTGTATAATCCTGTTGTCTCTAATTGACATGAAACAAAGAAGTCCTACCTAAACCTAGGGCCTAGGCCTATTTCCAGTGGCGGATTTGGGTGGAGAGGTGGCGCGTACGCCCCCCCCCCCCTCTATTTTTTTGCAAAGAAAAAATTACACCCACAGTGTTTTAGTCTTCTTTTCCTACCAAAAACACCCTAGGAGAGTGCCACTCATAAATCCACTTGGTGAGAAATAAAACACATGTAATTTACTCAATGTTAATATACAGTAGCGGATTTTGTTGTTTGACGACTTTTTTTTAAACTGATTTTGGATATTAGTTTTCCTTTTTGCTGATATTGTGATTATTATGTTCAATGTTGCTGAAAAACTGATTGTTTGTGTTTCAAGTAATTAACTTAACTTTTTATTTTTTGAAGTTTAAGTAAAATTTAAAGTTTAAAAATACAAGTAGAGGACACATTACAATATTAATTGGTAGGTATCTTTTATTCATTCACGTATAAAATTTAATAGCACAGGATGAATTACAGTTTGAATGTACTGTACAAATTAGGCAAATCAGTAAATTAATGGGTATATACAATTCAATAAATGAGTTATCTACTGTATATACAAATTGAATAAAATACCTAATTGATTATCTGTTTATATATACATTAGGTACGGTACAGAAAATGACAAATTGAAAAATAATAAGGAAATGTACATAAAAATAGATGATTATACAATTAAAAAAATAAATATTCATTAATAAATAATAATTATGTAACAAAATTTCACAATATTGTAATACAATATACTATTCAATAAGTCAAAACAAAATATGGACGGTGCATATATACGAAAACATATAGGCCTATACGTCACATTAATACTGTCTGAAACGTTATTACTTGGCAGGGGAAGGTGGGGTGGGGGGCTATGTGAGCGAAGTGAGCCTCACTTTGCTGGGGGACCAGCCGCCTAGGGGGCCACCGGGGGGATACGGATATTTGACGAATTTTAGTAAATTCTTATTAGTTATTTTGCCTGAAATCCCGGTTAGGTTGCTTCCCCGATCGAGATGTATTCCAAGCATCATGAGGATATCCAAACGAGCATTTGTCGTAGTAGAACGTAAACCACCATTTTTATTTAGTCCCATTGAAGAGGGGCGGATCCAGAATCTTTCAAAGGGGGGGGGGGGAATTTGTATTCTTTTTGTAAATTTCAATATATAACATAATGTGCACTGACATTTTACAAAAAAGTAGTGTCAAAAACGCTGTTTTGACACTTGAAACTGTTCTGCTGATTTAGAATACGTTCCAATAGATGTTTGAACGTAATTAATTCATTGTGAAGAATATCTGTTGTTTCATGGACTTATCTCAATGTGAAAAGTAATATTATACGGTAGTCGGATGAAAACCGAAAGGTCCACTGATTAATCTCAGATAAGATAGTATAATACACTACTCCAAGTATCGAAATACACGCCATCGTGTCGGGATTCAATATTTCAACATTAATTATGTCATCATCAGGAATGTCGGATAACTTACAATAAAACGGCACGTGAGTTTATGTTATTATATTATTTATTATTATTATTATTAGGCCTATTATTATTATTATTGTTGTTGTTTTGTTATTATTGTGATGAAAAGTTAACATAAACAGTACACAATCAGGTCAATGAAGGCGATATGGTTGCTAAACGAACAAACATGCAAAAATATGTTTTAATTTGTTTTATTCCCCGACGGGATGTACTCGGGAAGCCATGTGAACTGACATCAAATCGGTGTCCTTTCCAAATGGAGATATGTTGCAAAGTTGCTCACTGATTAGTTCGCCGACAAGATTGAAGTGTGATAATGGTTTGTTTCTCATGGATGGGTCCGGGTGAGATCATCGTAGTTTGGTTTCACACGGAAGCGGTGCTAGGATTATTTTTTCCCTCTCTTTTTATTCATTTCAAGAAGCGTTCAAACGTTCGCTTGCACGTCTTAGTTTGCCAACAAACTTTCGCCGACAAGATGAAAGCATGTGAAAATATTGGGGCTTGTTTTCTCATGAACCATCACTGCCCGTTTGGTGGCACATAAAAACTGAGCGGCCTCAAAATTTGATGATAATATGATCAAATTTTTATGTCTCTTCGTTCATCATGGAGTTTGCCTCAACTGAACGAGGTGGTCGCAGACTTCTTTAAGGATATGCATATCCTTGATAAGCAGAGAGATGCAACCAGTTATTGGAGATGCTGAAAAGGGGTGAATGTAGGCCCTAAGGCCAAGGGCGTCGATCCGTGGTTGAAGGTCGGGGAGGGGGGACGAAATAAAAAAATAAAGACTTTGGCCGTACATTCAAGCCTTGTTATTAGACCACGGGACACCCAACATTCTATGTGTTTATATATTTTGAAATAATTTCTAAATCGAACGATAGTTAGGTAAAATAGGGGGTACCATCTGTCACGGGGACACTAAATATTTTAGCTTAGCTAAAATATTTGGTGTCCACTACTATGCTATAATCACTAAAGCGTGAAAAATATTGAATAAACATGAAAACACATGAATAAACTTAAAATTACATGAATCCATGAAAATTATGGTTGTAGCGCATGCGCAGTAGTAGGGGGCACGTTTTGTCACGGGGACACCTAGAATTTTAGAACAACGTCATGGCTCGCTGGCAACACTCTTTGGCAGTCAACTCGCCCCTAGAAAACCCGCCCTTGGAAACTTGCCCCATAAAAAAATGTACACTTCCTAGACCATGCAGTCTTCAAAATAAAAATTGTAACCTTTGGTAATCAACTACATTTTCCACATAATTCACCACTATAGACACTTTTTGACAAAAATGAAAAATTACGACTTTGTTACCCAATATATGTTCTAATATAGACAATGGGTCGTGTCTCATATTTTTTGTTATAATTTTATTATTCATTATTTTCACTTGACTCGCATAAATAATTTTGTTCGAAAAACATTTATATGCAGTTGTACTTCGCAGCACTTCACTTGCAATTTGCAATTTCTAGTCTACTGGTTAGCTTGTGACGTATTCAAAATTCGAACCATGAAAAACAAATAAGCTTAAAACAGTCATTAATTTTAATAGTCTTTTTGCATGTACAGTATTTAAAAATCAATCAAGAGGTTTTTGCTTTACTCCTCTTTTTGAATTTCACGTTTGTGTAAGTAATATTGCGACTACACTATTGTGGGTGGAAATGCCGTCTAATTTACGATCAAACAGGACTAGGGAGATAGGGAGCACACAAAATATTAGTTAGCATTTTGATTTCACAATAAAGGTGATTTACTTCATTTATCATTACCAGAGGAAAGCAAAAATGAGGGGGGACAGGGAGGGACTTGCACAATATTGGAAAGTAGATCACGTATTCAAATTTCGAACCATGAAAAACAATAAGTTTAAAACAGTCATTAACTTTAATAGTCTTTTTGCATGTACAGTACTTTTAAAATCAATCAAGAGGTTTTTGCATTTCTCCTCTTTTTGAATTTCACTTTTGTGTAAGTAATATTGCGACTATATTGTGAGTGGAAATAATGCCGTCTAATTTACGATCAAACAGGACTCAAGGAGATAGGGAGCACACAAAATATTAGTTAGCATTTTGATTTCACAATAAAGGGGATTTACTTGATTTATCATTACCCGGAAAGCAAAATAGAGGGGGGACAGAGAGGGATTTGCACAATTTTGGAAAGTAGATCACCTCAGCCCCACCATGGTTGGGGCTGAGGAAAGAAAATTTATGATTATGACACCTCTAGATTGCCGGAAATGGCACTCTCAGACCTAAATCCTAATTATAATTTTCCTTTGTCTTTTTCCATTTTTAAAAAATAATTTTGAAAAATTTAGGGTCGGCTGGGCCCCACTTGAATCCGCCACTGATACGGGTCATAATAATATACAAAAGGAATAAATCGTTTATAGTAGAAATTGTGCACTTTTGAGTTTGTAAAAATATTGGCCTAATAAGTATACACGCTTCCAATTTTAACA